AATATTTATTTTTTTTATTTACTAAAAAACAAAAAAAAAAAAAACACAAAAAAAAAATTTATTTAAAAATAAAAAAAAAAAAAAAAAAAAAAAAAAAAAAAAAAAAAAAAAAAAAAATTTTTTTTTAAAAAAAAAAAAAAAAAAAAAAAAAAAAAAAGAAAAAAAAATATGCAATGAATTAACACTAAGTCAAACAAAGAAAAAAAACTGTACAAATCGTGATATATATATATGCAGTCGTATAAACAAAAATGGTACATTGTCTTGCATCAAAGCAAAGAAAAATGTCCAACACAGTGATTAGAGTGATCTTTATACAAGAGAATATATACGCTAGAATAAGGAAAAAAAAAATTTACTACATTATATAATTGAAAATATGCAATAATGGTAAAAAGCGTTCGGTAATACTTTTTGTCTACGTAGATTGATCGTAAGGAATTAGGTTGTTCACCACTGGAGAGTATCAATCTCCGTAAATCTACTATGTAACATGGAAAAAAAAATATGAACAAAAATTCCCATCTCAACTCATCCTCCCTTCCACCCTCACATCATTCGCTAATAATATCCGTTAGGACCCCCCACCCTCGGACTACCCAAGTGCTGTGGGGGCGGAGGACCTACGCCGCTTGGATGTGATGCATGGGGATGATGCCCATTGCTTCCATACCCACCAACCGGAGTTGATGGTTCTTTGAAGAAATTCGTCAGCGGTTGACTTATGATCGACTGACTGCCGCCCGAAGGGCCGACAGGTACTAGTTGCGGTGAATTGTGATGGTGATTATGAGAAGCGGGCGGCGGTACGCGAGCACTACTCGTCTGTGGAGGTATTACACCATGGTGAGGTGGTGGTGGTGGTGGTGTGTGGTAATTTGAGAGGTGACCCTGTGATTGGGGGACACCTCTCGAGGATTGACCCATGGCGGGTGAGTGGGGTACCTGTGGATGTACCGGCGGGGACTTTCCTGAAACATGATTGTAGGAATGTGGCGGTGGTCCCTGGGGAGGCAGCGAGGAGGGAGGCGGAGTCATGTATGCTTGTGGTGGTTGATTTACTTGAGAGGACTGATGATAGTGATGATGATGTGCATGGCCGTGGTGGGCTTGATTTTCCGGTGGGTAGTTGTGTGAGTGTGCATGTGAAGAATGATGATGATGAGGATGATGATGCTGATGATGAGAATGTTGATGCTGTGGTTGTTGTATGGGAGAAGATTGCATGGGAGGTAGGGTCGGAGGTTGTTGCTGTGGTGCACTGTTCGATCTTGGTGCGGAGGAATTTCTATGTTGCTCAGGGGGAGGAATCGGAGATGAGAGCACATTTGGCAGCGACGGATGCCTCTGATGGGGATGTTGATTTTGAGGTGAGGTGTGCATGGGTATCATATTTGGCGAATGATGAGTATTTATCGGGTGACGATACGACTGTTGCTCCGGAACTGGCGGACCGTTCATTGGTGGAGGATATGCGCGTGCATTTCTCGATACTGGAACGGAATTGGCTGGAGGATCTGAAACGCGACGAGGATGCACACTCGGGGGAATAGCCTGTGATAATGACGACGACGTGAGCGTTTTTGTCATCGGAAGAACAACATTATGGTGATCTGGATTTAACGAAAATATACCTCTGGAGACTGTACATAACCAGGGTTACCATGTTGAATCGGAGGGTATCCGGGATGCGGTTCCACACGTTGGGCATACACACCACCACCGTTGACCGGAGGATGATGATGTGTCATTTGATGATTCGCCATTCCGTGGTCACCGTTCATCGACGGGGAGCCATTGGGCATCATCGGCTGTCGATTGTGAATTCCGTTGGACGGGGGTGGCTGAGGTGACAGATGACCTTCTTCACCTCTGCTATCGTCACCCTGCTGCCGCTGTTGGAATGAATGGATGATGTGAATTTAGTAAAGTTTGGAAGCCTGTAAATTCGCTCGCGTCTAGATACGAAACAAATCACAAACCTTTTTGTTGTAGATCATGTAGGTGATATAGGTGTGCCTGGCGTTCCGCTTTTCCTTTGGATTATTCTTCTGCTGTTGCAAAAATGAATTAATCAATCACATATCATTTCCGAGATGAAGAACACGTACAGGTTAATACACGCACCATATCATCATATTTTTTCTGAAATCGACTATCGAAAGCGCTCGATTGCCCGCGCATCGATGGTATCTGACCATTCTGCTGAGGCATGGTTTGCTGCACAGGTTGCTGTGAGGGCATGTCCTATATATGGTTGGAAAAAGGAACAGATTTGGGTTCGCGTGAAATTCTGAAATTTACGGTGAATAATAATAATTAATCTCTCTGCTTACCGGATGAGCTCCGACCATCCCATCTATCCCCGGACCAGAAGGATATCCGTTGGGCACATGTGCAGGAGATGGGGAGGTTTTTGGATGCGGCATATATGGCTCCCTGATATTTAAAGATTTGGGATCACCAGGAATTGAGGATGAATCAACACCCTTTGGTTGAAATTGGAATCGGCTGGGGTGTTCAACTGGTAAACCGTTATGAGTCGGACGTGTGTTGACGTATGGTGGTGCCGGCGATTGTTGCGGTGCCAGTGGTGGTTGTGATGGCGGTGGTGGTTGATGTTCCCAATTCATATTGTAACTATGACCATCTGATTGAAATTTGTGAAGTGTTACTAAAAATAAAGAGTAATGGAAAACCGATGGATCCAGACTGAGGGGGTCAACAAACTTTGTGATATCGGAGCCAAATAATTTGGCTTTTTCTCTTCGCCCAATTCCCTTAGATCATTCAACCTTGAACTACCAGAGGTGACATGCGAATAATTTGGATCCGTGTGGTGATGGATTTTTTCTGTTGACACACGTGACGCGTAATCAGGTGGTGATAAATAATTGGAAGGGGAGTGGAAAAAAGGAAAAAAAAAAAAAAAAAGTTCACGTACGATAATCGTTCGCGTTGGACAGCCTACGTTTATTTGGGTTACGTTTTGTGATAACCTTTGGTTCTTTTTGTGGAATCTTGGATGAATTGGTCTGCACCTGTGACGTACCATTCTGTCAACACGGAAACCATGTTAACCATGGTGCGCACATACTCAATTTTTTTTTAAGAGGCAAGCATGATAATTACCGATGGACGTTTTAAATGTTTCCTAGTACTGTAATCATTTGAATAATGATACTCTACGCCGGGTTGACCCTGTATCTGGTGATGCGCTGAATTATCGTCACTCCTCATCTCGTCCGGGTAAGGTTCATGATGTTCAGGGTGTTGATACCTTTCCTATTGTGATCACAGGGAAGTAAAGATTTATCACGGATCGATGAAATCGGAATACCGAAAAAATGAGATGATAATAAATGGATCGATATCTACCATCGACGGACCCGCTTGTATTGAACGACCGGATTCAGGAGAAGCGGATTCTACATCTGAACAGAAGACAATAGAGATCAGCGAATGGAAAAAAAAAAAAAGAAAGGAAGCACCACCACCGCCGTGGACAAGGTAAGGTCGAAACAAAAACAAAAACAAAACTAACCTATCAGTGAAGAGATGGACATCGAGTTGCTTTTCGAATTCGTCCTCTGTTATAATTTGATGTGTGCAGGCAAAGGTTAGAAAATTTACCGAGGTGAGAATTCGGTGCAAGGAGGCAAGATCAACATACATTCAGTTGCGAGTGATTTGATTTTATGTCGGATAGGGAAGAGATGGCCGAGGCGGCCATCTCCACATCCGACATTTGGTCATTGTCCTTTGAAGAGTAGTGATC